TCCCGACTGGAATTACAGAAGTTATAGCAGAGAAAGGAGAATTATCTTAACTCACTAGAGCTCGACGAAGCGAGTAGTATGGAGGGGTACCGGTGGGATCACTGATATCCAACAACACGCAGTCACTCAAAGGATACTGGCCGCCAACACGGGGAAATTCGCACTGTTTGTCGCACTCGGTCGCCAGCTTGACGACGGTGGTGCCGCCGGGATAAACTTTTCTAAGGAAAGATAAAGTAATAAACCCGCCAACGAACCTCTCCGACCCGGCCGGCGAACAGACAGGAAGTGGGTCGCACTCTTCACTGGCTTGGCGGCCACCTTTTTGACAATACTGGAAAGAGCAGTTACCCTTCCCTCCAGTAATGCGTTTGGTTACATTCGGGTTTAAGGAATCGGCGACATCGTATTTGTTCTTCTTAAGGGCCGTTTCATCCGTTTGCAGGTACCCGCCGGCCATTTGAAGGCTTGGAATACATGTGGCCACGATCTCCGGGTTTTTAGCGATGGCATCGAGAACGATTCTGGATAGGTATTTTGTGAATAAATGAATGAATGGATGGAAATATATTAACCTGGGGATAACAAAACCAGCATCACACTGGACGAAGTATTGGGTGGTGTGAGGGATAGACGTGGGCTTGTATGTATTGATGCTCCTAAAGGCTCATGTAGATAGACATGTATACCATAACCGACAAGCTCTTCTCATCGCATTGTCCGGAGGCCACCATCTCCCGTGTGCAAAGGTTGAAGGGAAAGTATACAGTCTCTGGAATCCAAAATTATCGTCGACAAAAGCTATTCTACCATTGATTGCATCGATTTTGACCGGGGCAATACAATCTGCCGGAGTGGTTTCACCAAGCTTCTGCAAGAATAACCTTGATTCAGGTCGGAGACTCAACAATGAGCCAAGGCCGTGCAACGGAACTTCGGCCTAACGCCCCCGCAGGGTCTTTGGGAAAGAAAGCGTAATATTTTACGAAATGTTCTGTTGAGTTTTTAGCAATAAAAAACTACTTAAAACACTAGGAATTTTTTGCTAGCGGTTATAAGCTAAATAGCTCTCCCGCAAACATTCCCGCACCGGTGGGCAGACATGATAAAACCTACGCAGAATTTCGGATAGCAACGATCTTCCTGGAGCCTTCCCCCTCTCGCTATGGCAAAATCTAGAGGATCAGGGCATATTTCTCTTGCAGCAGTGTTGCACGGCGAGCACTAAATTCAATTCAGTATAGTCTCGACAGTGTGGATTCTCATCGAAAATCCACGATTTTGATCGATCCAATAACCGATATTTTGGACTTTTCATAACGCAAAAGGGAGGGGGGAAGAATCCCCCCTGTGGGATCCCCCCTCTGTCCCCCCTCGCCGTCCCCCCTCCGTCCCCCCCAAGGGGGACCCACCCCGGGTGGGCGGCGAAGTATAACGGTTAGTAAGACGTTAGTTTAAGTCCTCCCCCGCTCGAGTAGAACCAAACTTTTGTCACCTGGGCCCTTGGGCCTAGCCCTTGCGATAGAGACGAGACTACAATTTTTTTCGACGCAAGCCTCGATTTTTTTATGATTTACGGATGCCTTTATGCATTGTTTTTAACATTCCGCATTGTCTTTAACTATTCAAAAAAAATTTAATTTTAGGTCGAAAATTGATTTTTAGACCTAAACTGGCCAAATTCTCGGCTTAAGTGCAGCTTACCCCCCTTCCCCAGCCGACCCCACCTAGCGTATGTCGGCTAACTCTTTATCTACAGGTGTGTAAAGCATACCAACACCTGTAGATGAACAGGGAGCCGAGATACACAAGTTGGGTGCCGGCTGGGGCGGGGGGTAACTGCACTCCTAACCAAATTTTCGGCTCTTGAAACTACTATCTAGCTTTCTTGAAAGAGTGGTAAGACTCCAGATAACCCCCCCCCCCCCAGCCGGACCAGACAACTTTTGTATCTCGGCTCCCTGTTCATCTACAGGTGTGTAAAGTATACCAAAATGTTCGTCTTGCTGTGAGTATTTTGGTATACTTTACACACCTGTAGATGAACAGGGAGCCGAGATACGGTAGATGGGGGTCGGCTGGGGGGGGTTATCCGAGTTGCTCAGAGTTTCTACCCTAAATATAATTAAACTTATTAAAACCGTATAAAAATAGTTTATCTGCGATTACAAGGCCAACCGGGACCAACCCGCGGAAAAGTTTGTATCTATCCGGATACCTTAGCAAAGTCCTGCTTGCCGCCGTCTTTCTTCAGCCATGGCGGATAGTCTTGGCCGAGTTCATCGAAGACGTCGCAGATGAACGGTCGATTGTCAGGACACTGCAACTATCGGTTAACGCGACAAACAGTAATAATAGGTGTTCAAAGTCGCGTCTGGAAGCTGTTAAATACCGACTTCCTCGCTGACATCCCTGCTGTAACGGTTGGGTCGACTGATGCGATCATTTTGCGGCTCGATCCACGATTTTCTGAAATATTTTCGAGGCGCGAATTTGAGAGCCAGCCGAAAAGTAAAGAACCTACCGGGCCGCCACTGCGACGAGGGCGACGATCAGCAGAACGAAGCAGATTTTACGCAGCACACCGGTCGAGGCCGAGTTGGAGATGCCCAAATGGTGGCAGACGGGCTGATTGGGCGGGTACAGCATCTCCCTGTCGAACAGGAAAACAACGCCACCGCTCAGCAGTCTTTTTGAGCGAAATTTGAGCAGCAATGACCGGTGATGCCGGCTTTTTCACCCAAATTCAAGAATTATGCAAATATAGCTGTTTTCAACAAACTTTTAACGACATTTTTAATCTATGCGGTTCACTTCATCTCTGTTTTTTTAAAGACTCGGTCATCTTACATCTGTTTTTTTAATATTGTTACAGCAGCAGAAGCAACTTTGTGCCTTCAGTGTATACGGAGAATCCTTCTTTTCACATCCAATGCAGCAGTACAGACATTCCGGTATCACTTTTATCAGATTTATGCAAATTTTGGGGCCTAGGCGCCGGTCGGCTCGGCTTGACTCGGGGTGGCGGCCTGGGAGTTGTCGCTGCTCTCCGACTTCGGGTCGGCAGCCGGCTCCCTGCAAATGCAATTCATCATGGCCCATACAAATAGTGGAAGTGTTTCCAAGTGGTTTTTTACTATTCCGAAACGTGAAAACTGAAGAAATTTTTATCAAAAAATATCAAAAATATCGTTTTTCGATCGAAGAAATGCCGATTTTTGAGCAGAATTTCGATTTTTTTTAATTTGTAGATAGTTTTTCTTGTTCAATTTTTGTTTAGACAGCTCTTGTTTAGACATTACTGCAAACACTATTCAAACATTTTCTATTAACCTACTAGGGACGTCGAGACTTCTACGAAAAGTTCGGGCCTCCCCCCGATAATGCAAAAGAACCAAAATAGAAATATAAGGAAAGGGGCCGACTCTTCTGCCTTCTTTCGACCGGCCGATTTCAGCAAGTAGATGACACCGACGACAACGAGGACAGCAATAAGAGCGGCGGCGCCGATGCCGAGGAAGAGTCCGAGCTGTTCAGGCTCCTCTGGGGTAACAGTTGTTGGTGGCAGTGTCGGGGTGGCCGTTTTGGGAGTGGCTACACAGATTTTCTGAAAGTCGCAGGAAACACTCTGTTTCATTAGCAGGAGGGGGGGGCGTGTTTTGTCCATTACCAAAAAGGTCAAAATTTTGAATTTTCGAAATCTAAAAAATACTTTTTTATAACTTTCTAGCGATCAAAAACTGTTGAAAGACACGATAAAGTACATGATATATCATCAATAGGTGGAAAAACAGAAAGTATTCCCCTCCTAACCCCTCCCCCCGCTAACAATCCAGAACCGTCAAGTCCTATCTACCTGGTTCTGATCGACCTCACTGCACAGGGGCAGGTTCGAGACGGTCAGCGCCATTATGCCGAATTGCTTGTAGAATGGGTTCTTGGCGCAATCGAGCAGTTCGTCGGCTTCTACGATGGCTCTCTGATCTTCCTAGAAAAAGCGAAGATCTCATTCTCAAGACCATGACTTACCGGCAACCCGTCCGTCTGGATACAGCGTGGGTAGATGACAGATGGAAGTGGTGTACCCTGGCGCTTCTGACGGCTTCTTCTGTCGCTTCTCTTCCATCGTAGCTTCTTCTAAAAAAATGTGGATAAGATCTAGACGCTTGACAACTTCCGTCGAGCTTCCCCCCCATCACCCTCCGGTCTTTCCGGCTGATTCGGGATTGGTGGCTGGCTGTAGTTTTTAGGACGCAGCTTGGCCAGGTAGTTGATCGTCTCCTCCTCACTCATCAACGTCGCGTATGGTCCCGACTCGAATTACGGGAGTTCAAGCAGGGAAAATCGGGGAAGTATCTCAACTCACTAGAGCTCGACGAAGCGAGTAGTATGGAGGGGTACCGGTCGGATCACTGATATCCAACAACACGCAGTCATCCGGAGGATACTGGCCGCCAACACGGGGAAATTCACACTGTTCGTCGCACTCGGTTGCCGGCTTGACGAGCTTCTCTCCACCCGGAAAAATCATTCTAAACCAAAAAATAATCGGTGTTATGCCATATATACCTTTCTACCCCAGCGGGCGTACATACAGGAAGTGGGTCGCATTTTACCCCAGCTTGACGCCCGCCTTTGCTGCAATACTGGAAACGGAAATATCCGAACCTTGGGAATGTGTTTCGTTGGGACCGCCCGAGCTTTAAAAGCTATAGAAGACTCTCCCAACTCTTCATTATACAAAAGTTTTTACGAAAGAATGCGAAATTTTTTGCTTTATCGAGCTATCTGAGCCTATCTGAGCGGCGATTTTGGAAATGCGACGAAGGGGAAAAGTTATCAACAAAAAAATAAAATCCATAGCATTTTCCATGGCTGGTTTTGTGGCTCTATAAAAAATTCTCTCGACCGCCAATCCTCTAAGTTTGTTATACTAAAACCACGGATGAAAAGCCGCTTCGCGACTTTTCAACCCTGGCCCCGTCTGATCCCATGATATTCTTCACTTTGCATAATGCTCGCGATTTTCGATGGACGAAAAAATGCGAAACGTCTAACAAACTTCCCTTATATAGGCTACCGCAACTTCCGGCTTTGGCTAATTGTTATTATGTTACCAGCGCCCAAAACCCGCTTCGCGGGCCTTGGGCGCTGGAATGCGGCCTTTGCATAAAAATTTGACTTTCCGATAGCCCGGGTCCTGCGTACCCCCTCCCCCCGCCCCCGACCAAACCCGCGAGTGCAACTGGCAAGAATGAGGAAATTTGTATTTTTTTCACATTATGCAAATTAGCCCTCCTGGACCCCCAAAAATAAATAAAACCGGCTTTAACTTTGTAAACTTGTATTTTATCGAAATTCTGAAAGCGCCATCGGAAAGAGGAGGGTCGATTCCCCCAAGTGACGGAAAAATAGCGCATTTTATCCAGGGGAAGGTCCTTAAATCAGGCGTCGAAAGTGACATCCACACACACACACACACACACACAAAGATACGCGACCAAATTATATAAGGTAGGATTCCTAACAAAGACGGTTCTCAATTTTTCAACAAATCTAATTTTAACGTCGAAAACGGCTAATGTCTGAAAATTTTATGACCGTGCAGCCATCCCAAGGTCATTACGCACCAAATTAGTTGTTTTCAACATTAAATTTGAGTTTTTATAAAATTTTGGGAACGCTCTTTGCTAGGAATCAATTAGCATGCGCCGGAAGTAGCGGTAGCCTATATAATTGGTGAGAGAGTGGCTTTTTTTCATTTTTCTCAACGCAGTTTGGGCGTATTATGCAAAGTGACGAATTTCATGGACGCAGACGGGGCCAGGGTTGAAAAGTCGCGTAGCGGCTTTTCAACCCTGGTTCTATTGAAAATTTGAAATTTTATTGAAATTTTTTAGAAAAACGTTGAATATCGGAAGTATAAAAATAAAGCTCAGAAAATGAATCCCGCTTGTTTTCTCGCCTTTCCGAGAGCTTTCGAATGGTATAAAAATTATCCCGATCTGAGCTTCCCCCGAACCGCTAGAGAAGTGCTTTTTTGGGACACCCAGTATAGTAGGATAGTGGGATGTGCGTAATTTTTTTATTTATCGAACTAGAGCGGCGATTTTGGAAATACGGTCTGGGGGGAAGTCATGAGCTAAAGAAGAAGCGGCGCTCTAGAAGGGATAAGGAGGGTCCACGTAGATGAGGGCTCATCTATCATTGGCAGGTAGCCAACTGGGTCAGAGAGGGCGAGAGAGGGCGCAGAGACCCCCTTTCCCCGCGTCACCGGCTTTTGGCTGATCTAGGTGGGCCCTCCGGAGCCCGGGCTCAACTATTGCGGGAATATTCCGGGAATGCCTCAGGGCATTCCCGCAATGTTCTCATCTATTGCGGGAATTCCAGGCATGGATTCCCGGAACTCCATTCCGGGAACGGTTCCCGGAATGAGTTCCCGGAATGTCGTCTCATGTATCTAATCTCATCTCATGAAACTCGAAAAGTTTCCCGGAATGTAGTTCCGGGAATGGTTTTATATAAGGTTTGGTTCCCCGACAAAATCTCGGGGACAGCATTCCGGGAATCCATGTTCCCATTGCTCAAATTTTCTGAAATTTCCAGGAGTTGTCTAGACACTCGTTATTTGCCGGCCCGCAAAATCTCGTAGTGAACAATCGGTTCTGAGGCCGGTTTTGGAGGTCCAAAATAGCATTAAAAATGCGATACGTTTTCCTTATCTCCGATGCATGCACACTGCGCCGTTGTGCATGAAGTTGACATTAACTTTAGAAAGAATAATTTCTAATTTAGAATTTAGGATTTTAACGCCATCATGATTCCGGGACACTCCGGGACATTCCGGGAACCATTCGGGGAAGCATTCCGGGAATGCGCTCTCAGTCGGAATGCGTTTCCATCTACATTGTGGGAAACCATTCCGGGAACTACTTTCCCGGAATGTAGATGAGACGGCATTGCGGGAAAAAGTGGCTACTTTCCCGCAATGTTCCCCTGTCGTTCCCGGAATGATTCCCGCAATGGTTGAGGCGGGCTCAGATCCCCTTAACATTTTTGGGGAGTGGGGGAAAACCCTCGCGTACGCGCCATCCCATAGACCCGAAAGGCCGTCGTGATTGCCCACCGTTGGGGCCGTGGGGTCGAAAACGTCGTATGGGTTCTTGTCGAACGAAGTTTCATCGGTCTGTATATAGCCGGCTGCCCGTTTAAGGCTTGGAATGCACGTAAAGGGAAGTCCCGGATTTTTAGCAATGGCGTCTGGACGATTCTGCAGAATTGCTGTACGGGGGGATGAGAGTAGCCGCTTACTGAGGGATGACGAATCCAGCATCGCACTGCAGAAAGTATTGAGTGGTATGCGGGATTAACTCAGAAAAGTATGCGTCGGCGCTCCTAAATCCACATCACACGAACGTAAACAATTTTTCACAAGGCCTTGTCAGCACATAGCCCAGAAGCCACCATTTCGCGTGTGCAGAGATTGAACGGGAAGTAAACGGTCTCTGGAATTAAACCCGTGATGAAAAGTTGCAGCGAAAAGACTACCATTGATCACATCGATGGTGACTGGGGCTACACAATCTGCTGTAACGGTTTCTCCCTGCTTCTAAATGATCCAAGTAAAGAGAGTTGCTAACAACAAACGCAAAGATTGGGGCGGCAGCCCATAGTTTGTGGCCTTAAGTCCTTCGCGGCATAGAATTTCCGGTCTTCGGTGCATAGTTCACTCGCCGAAACAGTGCATGGCGAACACTAAATTTGAAATATGGTGACGCTTGTTGAACCATTTTTTTTAAAGATTAAACGTTCGTTTTCGGTTCGAAAAACAACCTTCGCCCTAAAAGGCATTTTTTTAAATTAAAATTTGTAAAGCACGTCCATCTGCTCACCCGGGATTCCTCCGCGCACCCCACGAATACCACGAAAAATGTGATTTCCACATTGCTGCGTGCAGTCGAAAGCTAGTTTTTGGCATTTTCTAACTGTTACAAATTTTCTTGAACGGTATTCGATTAGAATTCAAAATAACCTTCAGGGTTTTGATTACAGCTGCTATGAACGGAATATAAAATTGTTCTTGCAAAATGACGTACAGTACTGGCCAAAATTCTATCATATTTCTGTTTTTAGGTTATAACTTCGCAGAACTCTGGTGGTTTTTGTTCGAATTTACACACGATGTTGGCTTTAATGTAATACACTTGCTGTAACGTTTTCGTAATTTTTGGATCTAGCGTCGGTGCGTACGGTAACATTTTCTCGAGCAAATAGGGTCCAAAATTATTTTTTTTGAGGAATTTCGAGATTTCGTAAACATCTTCAGCGTGTTCAGCGTGTTTGAAAACCCCAACTGTAGCCATTTGGTAAAATTTGGGAGTCGGGAAGGGCCTTTTTGGATACCTGGAAGATGGGACTTTGGCGCCTTGTCATTTGTCGGAGGTCCCCCCTTAACATTTTTGCCACCGCGCAACAACTTCCAGGGCCGATTAGAGTCACTTCCCGGCTCCCAAATTTTACGAAATTGCTACAGTCGGGGGTTTCTACCACGCTGAACACGCTGGATATCTTTCCGAAACATAAAATTCCTTAAAAAAGTTAAAATTTGGGCCCTATGATTTGCTCGTGAAAATGTTACCGTAAGCGTCGACGCTAAATCCAAAAATTACGACAATGTTACAGCAAGTGTATTACAATCCAGCGAACATCGTGCGTAATTTTGAACAAAACCATCAGAGTCCTGCAAAGTTATAACCTAAAAACAGAAATATGATAGAATTTTGGCCAGTACTGTAGATTACAGGAAATTCTCCGTCCCGCATTCCCCCGGCTCGAGAAAGTACAGTACCAACAATCCTGTTAAAGGCATCTACTGCCATACCTGCGTATCCTTGGGGCCAGACAGTTCAGGATAAGGCTTTTCCAGCTCATCGAAGACGTAGCAGACAAACGGGCGGTTGGAAGGGCACTGCAAAAATAAGAATGGCCTCGAAAAAATGCACACCGCGTCGTTGGTATCTTTACGGTAACGGTTGGGGTGACTGATGTGACCATTTTGCGGCTCGATCCACGACTTTCTGAAAATATTTTCGAGGGGCAACTTTCAGATAGGCACGAATCTGTGCAGCTGAAAAGAGAAAACTTACCGGGCCGCCACTGCGACGAGGGCAACGATCAGTAGAACGAAGCCGATTTTACGCAGCACACCGGTTGAGACCGTGTTGGAGATGCCCAAATGCTGGTAGACGGGCTGATTGGGCGGGTACAGCATTTTGCTGCTGTAGCAAAGCAACGCCAAAGCGCAACAAGTATTTTGGAGGAAACTGCTTGATTTTCGAGCAGAAATGCAAATTTTCCTATGAATTATGCAAATCAGGGTTTGATTGCAGGATTTCTGACCACAACCGGACTGATTTCCGGATCGAACGCAAGAGGTTCGAGCCAGGTATGTGCAAAGGAGCTCCACGTATTTCATTCGCGACGACGAACTCGCACTGTATTTATTTAGACTGCAGTTACCGTGATCTAAACGAGGAACTGATCAAAACGTCTTCATCTCGCACGCAAAAGCCTAAGTCTAAGCCCAACCCTAACTAAGCCGAACCCTAAGCCAAGCTTGCGCATAGGCCGTGATGCGCCTAGCATACGACAAACTTTGAGGAACGACGAGCCTATCATCGAAATGTCATCATCTCGCTTGCATAAGCCTACACCTAAGCCTAAGCCTAAGGCCAAGCCTAAGTCCAAGCTTAAGCCTAACCCCAAGCCTGCGCGTCGGCCCTGATGCGCCCAACTATGGGAAACCCTTACCTCTCCGTGTCTTTAAAGTAAACACCATCACCCACGGAACACCGCCCTTTTTGAAGGACCCTCATAGTTAGAACTCGACTATCATCGAAGCATGTAAGGGGGAGCCCAGTTTCCCCGATGGCGTGCCACAAATTCCAGATTTCCCCATAGGTGTCTATTGTTACGGGGGCACGTTGCGCCGGGTCATGGTTGGATACGGTAAAAAATGGCGGCCCGACCGCGGGGGGACAAGGGCCGGGGCGCTTGATTGTTTGGAGGGGGTTGAGGGCCCCCGGTTGGAATGTGACGGCGCCGCGCGGAAAGTCAGCTGGTTGGAGAATATAAGGTGTCAATGGTGGTGGGGGTTCCCCCGACTTTGGCGCGCCGGATACAAAGCCTTGTCGCGGTCTGCCAGCCGCCTCCAATTTTGGCTTCGTTTTTTGGATTATTCGGTTCGTCGAATTTTTGATGCACCGATTACATCGATCGATGCAAATTTCGACATTATGAATTTTGAAAATAACCCCATGTCGACCAATGTAGATGGCATCTTTCTCGTATCGACGTTGAAAATTGGGACAGTTTCTCTTAAAACCAGATTTTTTGAAAAATGAATTTAGGTACTTCTTTTCGGAAACATGACCTTTTCGAAATTACAACTTTTAGGAGAAACGATTTTCAGGAGAAATTAATTTTAGTTCTTACAAATAAAGCACAACATTCGAACTGGTTTCCACATAGCGAGACCCTATTCGCGGTTCTCGAGAGTGTTGCAAATTTATTTAACGTCATTCGATAGAGCGCCAAAAAAAGATATTTAGGTTTTAACTTTTTGCCCAAAATAACGTCAAATAAAATAGTTATGAGAAAAGCAAACAAATCCCCGAAAAAGCTGTTAAGCCATAATTGTAGCTTTTTTTTGTAAAATTGTTTTTTTAACTTTTGGTTTGTTTATAATTTTCAGTTAATAGTTTATTATAGAAGTAAATTTAAGGCTATAATGAAATTCTATAAGCATTTTGGTACACTTAATTTTTTCCGGCCTACCGATTTGTAGTAATGGTCTGATTGTAGGTTTAAAAATTCTGATGCTCCCAAGGCCTCGAAATATCAATGCCAATTCGATCTTAAACCTTAATCATCTCATTAAATATACGTAATCAATCAGTATCAACCCAATTCCACAACTCGACCATCCTTTGCCTGCCTGCCCATCCCGTGACGTGATCGGCGTATTCGGCTGATTAAGGGCACATCAGATTGGGGCGAAGCCTTGTCGCCCCCATCAAATTTCCGCTTCCGCGGCGCTCCCCGGCAGAAGACGGGTCCTGCTGTGGCCCGCGCTGGACCCGCTCGCGCGCGTCTTTTTGACGCCTTGCGTGTGCCCTTTTCACGTATCGCTTGCATACGGCCACCACCAAAGAGACAGACAGAGAGATAGACAGACAGACAGGCAGACAGACATCTACACCCCATCATTGCTGACGCCTCCTCCCTCCACACATCTATGGTATTTGCCCAGTTTCACCCGATCGGCCCGCACTGCCCTCCCCCGTATGCAAATTTAGGCCTTCTTTTTCGGGGCCCAGCAAAATCCATCAAGTGGCATTTCAATCGCAAACATCTGGCAACGGGTTGCGGTTTTTGAATTCTTGATTACCTGCCTTGCCTTTAAAGATTTTATCCCAACCGATTCTGCGCGTTTTCCCAACAATCTCTGCTAGCCTGCCCTCTCCTCTTCCTCAACAATCTCTGCTAGCCTGCCCTCTCCTCTTCCTCAACAATCTCTGCTAGCCTGTCCTCTCCTCTTCCTCAACAATCTCTGCTAGCCTGTCCTCTCCTCTTCCTCAACAATCTCTGCTAGCCTGCCCTCTCCTCTTCCTCAACCTCTTCCTCTGTTAGCCCGCCTTGAGTCGAATCTTGCAACAACCTTTCCCGGCTTAGAGGCAGGCTAGCAGAGTTTCTTTGCCTGGTTTCCACATGGCTTTCCTCCCACCTCACATCCCATCCCCATCATGTTTGCGGGCGTTGTGGCCAAATAGGGCCAAGGGCCCTGGTATGTGCCGATGGTTTTTTGGGCGCTTAGGAGTGATGTGGGCCCTCTAAGCCGCGAACGGGTCCTCAAAGGGCAGCGCCGCCGGCCAGCCGCGCGCGGCTTGCAAGCCGCGGCAAAAGCTTCGACGGAATGTTTAGGTTGCCCTTCCAGCTTGCCCTTCTATTTACTTCCTGTTTTTTTGCATATTTGATTCACCTCTCGAATTACACCCGTTTTAAAGGAGCGTTGAAGCCTAAATCTCAAGTTTCTTTTCCGAAAATGCGGTCAATTTGGCCATGTTATGTCTGATCGTCTTCATGATTACTTAACCGACTCGCTCCAGTTCAGATGCTCCATGTAGCCGGGGGCTGGTTGCTCGTCCTGCTGCTCCAGGTCGTCGACACGATGGACCTCTGCGAGTACTTTGCCCGCCTCGGCGTCGACAAGCCGGAATGCCGAAAGGTCGGCGAGAAATCGACGTGAAAAGCTCGACTTTCAGCAAATCCACTTCGACACTTTCGACCCGAACCCACGACCCGCACTCCACTCGATGGCGCAGGTTTTGCATTTCCATCAGCTGCTGCCGTCCCCAGTCATCGTCGACTCGCCCAAGCTGCCCGTGCAGAAGTTTGAGCTCGTCGGTTCCCCAGGTAGAAGCCTAAACCCAAGCTCGCGCCGAAGCTGAACTTAAGCCCAAGCATAAGGTTAAGCTCAAAAAGTCACTTAGGATTCGACTACCCGCTCTGCAAAAACTACTACCACTCGTGCATGTTTTCGACAAAATGCGAGTCTGGAACAGGTAAGCCTAGGCTCAAGCCTAAGCCTAACCTAAGCCTAAGCCTAAGCCACAGTTCTCGTGAGCCCGAGCCTAAGCCTACGCGTAAGCCGAAGGCTAAACCTAACCATAAGCCTAAGCCTAAGCCTAAGCCTAAGCCTAAGCCTAAACATAAGCCTGAGCCTAAGCCTAAGCCTAAGCCTAAGCCTAAGCCTAAGCCTAAGCCTAAGCCTAAGCCTAAGCCTAAGCCTAAGCCTAAGCCTAAACATAAGCCTAAGCCTAAGCCTAAGCCTAAGCCTAAGCCTAAGCCTAAACCTAAGCCTAAGCCTAAGCCTAAGCCTAAGCCTAAACCTAAGCCTAAACCTAAAACATCCATTCAGTGTGCACAACTGGTTTCGACACGACCCCCTGCTGCACCTCTACCGTAACCCGGTGCCCGTCCGTCGCCTCGTTGGGCATCAACTGCCGCAAGCCGAAAAGCGTCAATTGGTGCGTCTAGTAGTACAAATAAGCCTTAAGCTAGGGCTCTACAAAATCGTAAACAGCGCCACATATAAAACCCTAGGCATTTTAGGCGGATATCCAACGAAAATTCGCGCGAACCCGGCGTCAGGTAGTCCGAAAAGCACCTGGGGGCACACCCTTTTGCACTGGGGCTTAGTTTCAAGGGACCTGGACAGAATTATCTAGACTTTCGCGCACAAGCAATCCCCCCCCCCCACAAAGTCACCATCTCGTTTCTAAGCGCAGTCCAAATTGGCAGTCTTATCAAGCTCATATGCTTGTTTTTAGGTGCTTTACGGATCGTGATTGCCGGGGAGCAGCCACGACGTCATCGTCCATGTGCTGCCCTACCGGATGTAACTATAACATTTGTGTCCCGCAGGCAGATGTCTTTCCCAAAAGATCTCTGCTATCCGACAACTCCGGAGGACTATTTGCCAATCATCAATTAGGCGAGTTATTAGGGTTGGGCAGGCTAGCAGAGATCGCGGAGGAAAAAGAGGAAACGAATCAGTGAATCACCCACAACAACCCGTTAAAATCATTTCCGCTTCAGCCTTCTCCCGCCTCAACCTCAACCAAGACCAATGCCCAGATCCATGGAAGATAGATGTAAGAATAGCATGATTTTTTTAAAGAAAATTCGCATTCAGGTGAAGTGCAACGTGCGACGGCCGACGAGCTGGTGCGCCAAGCATTCAGACTGTCCCACGGTGAACAGCGTCAACCCGAGAAGGTTCGTGCTCTCTGCTAGCCTAAGCCTAAGCCTTAGCCGAAGCCTAAGCGAAGCCTAAACGAAGCTTAAGGGAAGCCTAAGCGAAGCCTAAGCGAAGCCCAAGCGAAGTTTAAGCGAAGCCTAAGCAAAGTTTAAGCGAAGCCTATGCGAAGCCCAAGCAAAGCCTATGCGAAACCTAAGCGATGCCTAAGCGAAGCCCAATTTCTAAGCCTAAGCCTAAGCCTGAATGCTAAGCCTAAGCCTAAGAATAAGCCGAGCCTAAGCCTAAGCTCTTCCTCATGAAACTCTGCTGGTGTCTACCCTCTCCCAAAAATCCTATTTTCCAGATGCTGCCAAACGCTTTGCGGCTACACGGCCTGCATGGTGAGGTACAACAACAAGTGGATGATTGCCTGATCACCTCCCACATCTCAGTTCCTATTAGTGTGCTATTTATTGCGAAAGGCGATCGAGAAAAATAAATATTTATTGCTTTTTTGAGATTTCGTTGAAGTACACATCTGTACATAATGCCATATTTACAACTCAGAGTGTACCGTCGAGGTCGGTTCGGTTTCTTCATGCAGATACTTTGTATATTCATCGTACGGGCTGAGGTCCTCGAATTTGTGGAAGGAGATTGGCGGCTGTCGGGCGATGTAGTCCCTGGTAAACGCTTGGTTAGAAATGTAAATACACGAATTGCGGGTCTTCTATTATGATGTACCAATTTTAGGTCGCTCGAGGTCCCTTAAAAACTATCGGAATTGGTGCTTACTTCGCATAATCGATGGATCGGGCCTGGTGAAAGGACGAGGAGTGGATGATCGGAATGTTGAAGGAACGGGCACAAACCCCTAAAAATGGCCAGTTGGAGCCTTGCCCAAGCCTAAGCCAAGACTAAGCCATCACATACCAATAATCATATCATCCGGCGAATCATCACTAGGGCATTCGCAGTTTCCGGCCAGTTGCAAAGCCGCTGGTTTTGAGAAGACCATGCTGAAAACACGAGATCATGGCTGTCACGCCCCATTTAAGAAGTTAAATCGATACCAGAACCTACCCAGAGCCTCCAGTCGGATAATCATAACCACCGCTTCCGTCCGCCGAATAGCCGAAGCCGTAGCGTTCGCCGATAATCATCTAGAGGGCATCTAGCAGAGATTGTTGACGAAGAAAAGAGGGCACGCTAGCAGAGATTGTTGAGGAAGAGGAGAGGGCAGGCTAGCAGAGATTGTTGAGGAAGAGGAGAGGGCAGGCTAGCAGAGATTGTTGATGAAGAGGAGAGGGCAGGCTAGCAGAGATTGTTGAGGAAGAGGAGAGGGCAGGCTAGCAGAGATTGTTGAGGAAGAGGAGAGGGCAGGCTAGCAGAGATTGTTGAGGACGAGGAGAGGGCAGGCTAGCAGAGATTGTTGAGGAAGAGGAGAGGGCAGGCTATCAGAGATTGTTGAGGACGAGGAGAGGGCAGGCTAGCAGAGATTGTTGAGGAAGAGGAGAGGGCAGGCTAGCAGAGATTGTTGAGGAAGAGGAGAGGGCACGCTAGCAGAGATTGTTGAGGAAGAGGAGAGGGCAGGCTAGCAGAGATTGTTGAGGAAGAGGAGAGGGCAGGCTATCAGAGATTGTTGAGGACGAGGAGAGGGCAGGCTAGCAGAGATTGTTGAGGACGAGGAGAGGGCAGGCTAGCAGAGATCTTTTCACCTAATTACCTTCTTCATATGGTCCCTCTCCCCTAAAAGCCTCAGCAGCCGCGAGGTACTGAGGAGCGTATCGTCGTCGGCGATCAGCAACCACTTGTTGTTCGGGTACGACTCAACGCTTTTCGCGTAGTACCGAAGGATGGCCAGCGTCTTGGCGCAGTGGCCTGGAAATTCACTATATCGAGCCATTCATCCGGTTCCTCAAGAATTTCTGCTAGTTTGCCTTATCAAATTTTTACCTCGTTTAGTATTCGGGATTCCTAAAGTTTTCGTGGGTACGAAAGCGTCTTCAGCATCGCTAAAGTAGTCGATGAAGGGTAGGCGAATTCCCCAAGTACGTTTGACTGCCACGACTAAATAAAAGTTTTCAAAGCGAAAGAGAGGGAGAGAGAGAGAGAGAGAGAGAGAGAGAGAGCTAGAAAGATTACCTCGAGTCCTATGATATTCTGAATACGTCTTCACCGCCGCGTAGATGTCCTTGGCGTCCAGCGCTTTCTCTTGGCTGAAAGTGCCAAGTTTTCAAGATTTCTAACCAGCTTCGGACCTGTATTTTGGCGCGTTAAACGAAACCGCACAGCCGTCAGTCGGAAATAGACAGAAATCATGGGGTCTATGCTCCATTTCAATCCCGAGCCGCTCCTTGAGATATTTTGCAAACTAAAGGATTTAAGTTCAAGTTGGTTAAAGTTGTTAAAACTTAGAGTTAAAACTAAAGTATATACCTCGTGTTTCGCATCTATGGCAAAGTTGTCGGCGTACGGATTTTGCTGAAGCTCGTCGGCTAGCCTGGAAATTTAGCATTTCTGCTAGCCTGCCCTCTCCTCTTCCTCAACAATCTCTGCTAGCCTGCCCTCTCCTCTTCCTCAACAATCTCTGCTAGCCTGCCCTCTCCTTTTCCTCAACAATCTCTGCTAGCCTGCCCTCTCCTCTTCCTCAACAATCTCTGCTAGCCTGCCCTCTCCTCTTCCTCAACAATCTCTGCTAGCCTGCCCTCTCCTCTTCCTCAACAATCTCTGCTAGCCTGCCCTCTCCTCTTCCTCAACAATCTCTGCTAGCCTGCCCTCTCCTCTTCCTCAACAATCTCTGCTAGCCTGCCCTCTCCTTTTCCTCAACAATCTCTGCTAGCCTGCCCTCTCCTCTTCCTCAACAATCTCTGCTAGCCTGCCCTCTCCTCTTCCTCAACAATCTCTGCTAGCCTGCCCTCTCCTCTTCCTCAACAATCTCTGCTAGCCTGCCCTCGCCTTTTCCTCAACAATCTCTGCTAGTCTGCCTGCCTGCTCTTAATTTTCCCCACTAAAATTGAATAAAAAGATACCTCTTCAAGAGTGCCGCCGAAATCGCGAGACCGGCTCCAAAATCGGGATACGGTAGCTGGGGCCCTGTCGGTGTATGATGGTAATGATGGATGATGGTCGGTCTGAATAACAATGGATCGAATCCTAAGCCTAAGCCTAAGCCTAATCCAAGCTTGCTTGCCTAAGCTTACAAATGTATCCACGATCAAGTAAATGTTAAATGCACTGAAAGTCTAAACCGACCCTTCATCTCTTAAAGCGTATCCAAAAATCATAGCTTTCGTCGAATCTTCGTTTCCCAAAAATTCGCATAATTTTGTTGGTCCACAAGCGAATATGGCTCCACAATGACCAGCCAATTGGCTGAATGCTCGGAGACGCTTTTTGAAAGCCTTAAATTTTTATTTAAAACTAAATTAAATCGGAATGTGGTACCTCGAAATACTCTGAAACAACGTCCAGTGCCCCCATTTCCCGGTTTCGTGCGAGAATTCGACGCGGTTTTGCTGAAACATGGAATTTGTGTGCTTTTTAGGGCTCACAGATCTAAATAAAATCTGATTTATTAAGCTTAGAAAAGAAATATATGTTCTTTAAATTACCTCATCTCTTTCCAGACTTTCTTTCAATCTATTCGCCAACGCCAGCTCGTATTCGTCGGGTTGCGTCAAGATTTCGAATAGTATTTTGGCTAAAATCGGCCTGTAAATCCTGAAAATCAAAAAATTTCACCTGTTGTGCATTTTAAAAGTAATGTGAATATTGCTGGCCATATTAGCATCAATTAAGCGGTTTTTATAGGGCGATTTTAGAGATTTGCTTTATTGTTTGGCGATTTGCAGGTTGTAACCCAAGGCGGCTTCATGGCGGATGGGAAAGCCATTGAACAGCACGCACAGTTTTCGGGTGTTAGGTGTAGCTTCTCGGAAAGAGGGGTTAGGGAATAGCTACCGTATTCCACGAGTGGAAAAGTTCTGTGGATCTGACTTGATCTTAAGCCTAAGTCTGAGGTTAGGCCTGCGCCTGAGACTAAGCCTAGGCCTAAGCCCGAGCAGAAGCCCAAGCCTAAGCCCAGGCCACAACGGGAGCCTAAGCCTAAGCCATTGTCGTCTTAAGGCTCCATCTCGATTTTCGTTTCGGGTAGCCCTGCGTGAAGCAGGAAGGGGACATTCCAAAATTAATGGCGGCTAGGGCACGGAATAGAAAAACGGGGCAACTGCTCGTGGGCCACTTCTTCCCGCTTATCTCTGGCCTTTGAACCCGCTGCAATTTGTCCCCCAGAAGTTAAGTGAATTTATGGGTTCCGGAAGTTTCGGTCAAGAAACCGATGCTTTAGTCGAAGCCTAAGCCAAGCCCAAGCCTTAGCCTAAGCCTTAGCCCATACCGCGACGCCCAGCTCGATGACGATGAAAGAGTCTTGTGCAGATTTGCCGAACAGATTTGCCGAGCTCAAAAAATGGCAAAGAATGCAGAGGAGCGCCTCGTCAAATTTTATGGGGCCTCCACTGCTGCACCGGGTGCCCTCGACCATTCGACCCGCAATAATAAGTGCCCCAGAGGTCGGTGGGAACGGGTCATAGGGCATTTGCTTCGGTTTCTTCAGCTTTTCCTTGCTTCTTCCTAGCTCTGTCCAGAGCTGCTCCGAGGTTTTCTAAGCCTTCCCTAGGCTCTCCCATCTTCTTTCTCTCACGCTCTGGCTCTCTCGCTCTCTCTCTCTCTCTCAGTTACTCTCTCGCTCACAGAACGGTCGCTACGCTTTGCATCATTTTGCAAACAACTCTTGTTCTTTCTTTCTCTCTCCCTCTCTCTCTCGCTCTCTCGCTTTCGCTCTCTCGCTCTCTCTCGTCGCTCCCGGGCGTTTTCGCTCTATCACTCGTTCTCGTTTTCGCGCTCTCTCGTTCTCGTTATCTATCTCTCCATTTCACTGCGTCACAGACATCCCGATTTTCGTTGCATTTTTGCGTGTCCCGAGTCTGGCTACGGTAGGCTGGGCGCAAATTAGGGAGCATAGACATGTAATTGGCTTTACTAGAGGGTTCCTGTTTTTTTCCGGAGGTCCGGAAAAGGAGCGCCCAAACAAAAACCCAATTTTCCTGCCTAACCCTGGCAATTTGGCCAAGACTTTTTAGGGCCCGAGGGGATGAGTAACGAATTGTTAGCGTCTCTCTCCCTCCTCACTCACTCTCTCTCTCTCTCTCTCTCTCTCTCTCTCTCTCTCTCTCCCTCTCTTTCCCTAATTTTGCCGTTTCACCACCCCCACCCGAAAGCGTCACCTGTTCACAAACCCCCGCATACACACACATATCCGGGAATCCCCGGAATGTGCTTGTTTTGGGGCCAGTTTCAAAATATTGTGACGTCTTTTCTTTTACTCTACTTGGTCCATTGTATCTAATTCTTATAAAGGCCTGCCCTACGC